AATGTCCCCCATAAGGATACGATGTAGGCAGATTAATAGTGTAGATTGGTACTTAGTGTCACATTTCAGCTAAAGACCAGTTTACCTTCCGTGTTGCGTGACAAAATTGCAAGTTATTTTGCTTACTTTTGCCTGTGCTTTTGCAAAGCCAAGCGTGGAGATTATGGCAAAACCCTCCACTATAGTGGAGGAGGCTCATAGTCCAGCAGTGGACTGTAAATGGCTGTTGATGATGATGGGCTTAAGTAAGTATGAAAATACGATAAAAGGCTTCATTCAAACCCGTATTTATTATTTAAGTATCAACTTTTTGTAATACCTACCATTGTAAATCAAAATACTCTTGATTTGCTTGTTTTCATACAACGCATTGCTAAAACTAGAGTCCAATGTGCGTAACATAAGGTAGAGTAAACAAAAAGTTAAAATACAATCTCCAATTCAAAGTTAATATCAGCTAAATGCCAAAGGTGAAGTAGGTGCAAACTCGATCAGAAATTTGCACCTCCCGAGGGATTCCGGTTAACTTCCGCTGCGCTCGGGAACGTCTGGTATTGGTATTGGAGATATTGACACACCTTCATCGACCTGAGCGATTTTCCTTCGTACATAACATGAAAATGTAGAAGATTAGAACAATTTCCCTCTGTTACAAAGAGTAGAGATTACCAAAAAATTTAAGTCGGTATATGACCGGTAGGTACTCGTAAGTTGTTCTTATATTTCTTCTGTCTTGGTTTTGATGGCCAGGTTCCTGATGTCACATTATAAGTGTATGATTGTAAGGCTAACATAATCATAGTCCACAAACTTCTTCCTGTCCATTCAAATCTCAATGGACTCTACATTATTAATCTAAATGAACTCTAGCAACAAGTTAGTTTTGATAAAATAAAAAGAAATTAAATCTTAGGCTGGTTTGCACCATCTTACTTTAACTTTGACTAACGTCAAAAATCTGTCAAAGACCATACAAAAAACACCGGTTATCATAATAGTTACGGTCAAAGTTAAAGGTGGTGCAACTCAGCCTTAGAATCCGTTAGCAAATGCTCCAGCTCTACATTTTCAAATGGAAGCTCTATAAATTACTTTATGAATGCAGTCAGCAAAGCCTTGGAAATGCCTTAAGAAATGAAGTGCAATAACTAGGTATTCCTGTCTGATAATGAGTTATTGGATCCGGAGATATTAAATTACAGTTGCAGTTGCATTTGCACTCAGTAGCGCTTTATTTCGAGGAAGATATTTATTTAGGAATCAAATTGCAGATTTTTATCAGTCACACACCTGTTTTCAGGTAAGTTGTATGCCTAACTTAAAATCTCAAGTAACTATGTTACTTATTAGGGCTCTAATTCATTAAGACACACATGCACATGAGAACGCTATAACAATTCTAATTATTGTTAATAAATCCACTTTACCATACGATTGCATAACAAAAAATATTTCTACACTCATTTGGTTTATGGACATTGGACATTGGAACATACGAGTACATAATTCAGGAATCATTCCCGTAACTCGTATTGTATGAATGGATTTTATATCACCAGGGTAACATTCTGGGGAGCTCGTGTAATTCCGACCGAATTGTTTGGCAGCGGAATTTCAGAGTACCTGTTACGTACCAACTGAAAAAACGTGTTCGCTCAAAAACCGTAAATTTTGCAGAATCGTTCGTTATGAATCGCTGTTGTTTTGACTGGGCGACCTCGTTTCGCTGGCGTTAGAAAAAAAATGCGCCGCCGCGAAACCGTTTGATTTAAGAATATTAATTTAACACAAATTTTGTTCCGGTAAAAATAAACTGGGGACTTCCCTGTTATAAAATTACACCGCGCCAACCTACTGCAGCATTTTCCTGGTGAAAAAAGCTGATAAAACGTGTTTTTGCATAATTAGTCCGTTTGTTATCCACCGTTTCTGTGTTTATTTTGTCTACAATATTTAAAAGGTGTGATAAGAATGTTCATTAGTCGAATATGGTGCAACACAGTGGGTCCAAAGTTTGGGTCTTAGTGGGGTCAGTTAAGCTATCTTTTTTAATTAGCTCCCGTTAATTACTGCTTATGATAGGTAACCTATGTTATGTACTTTTGACCGTTACCTGTTAAGTCAAACAAAACTACTTTTGCATGCTTTTTCAGTTATACGTTATCATATAAGCAGATATACAATTAGGTCATATTAGTGAGTTATCTGGTGACTATTATGACCTATTTGAAATTGAAATTCCCATAGCTATGAGGATATGTTTGCAGTACAAAACCGCTAAATCCGTTAATGCAAATGGACATCTTTAGGAATTATTAGCGTGTTTGTATACTTGGACATATTTACACTAGAAATCTCGTTTATCGCGATTGCTTATCGCACGAGGTCGGTCTCCGAATCCGGTTGTTGCTAAACTTTATGTAGTTTGTTTGTTTTATCAAATATAATGCCAAAAAATTATAAATAGCATGATTTTAAACTAAAATTATGAACAATTGAGGGCTATGTTCAGCAGTCGGCGTCTTCTGGCTGACATTATTGCTGATATTTGTATTGTAAGTAGGTATGTATTGATTTTTGTATTGCATACAGTTACACATAATATACAGGATGGTTCGTTTTAGGCATAATGTCATAATAAATACAGACACTTTCAAATCATTAAGGTGCTTATCATTTTGTGAACTGGTTTACACACCCGTTACTTATTTATCCATAGTTTTGAAGTTTCAAGCTCACACTGATATTTAAAATTTGACAAATTACATTTACTATTGACTCTTAAATTATTTCACAATGCTAGTTATTAACCGACTTTTAAAAAGGACAAGGTGCTCAAGTAAACTTTACAGTTGATTGAAGTATGGCGGTGGTTGTTTGACATGAAGGTATTAAATATGATTGACATTATCAATACAAAAGCCAAGATAGATCTTAAAACTATACTAATAAAAAATACTTAATTTACGAGTTGCTCATTCAAGTCCGTGATGGATCCAAATAATGGGTTTTTTCCCGTTGTCCCACTGATGGGAATTAATTTAATTAAAAAATATAAATATTGTTATTGTCTCCACCGACAGGAGTGGCGACAACGGTAATGAAAATCATTTTTCTGAATTATTTAATTAAATTCCCATTGTTTACACTGGTGGGGACAAGGGGAATAAACGAATATTGGAGTTTAACCACACAGCCCTATGTTCAAAATAAGTTTCAGTGGCGTTTTGAGCTATACTAGGTATAATATGATGAATCTATAGTTCTTTTACTAATTAATAAGTATTTGGTAAGAAAGTTGAACTCTCTTGATCTGGAAGACTTCGATTCCCAGGTGGAAATCTCTGTAATTGTTTTCAGGTAGGATATTCATCCCTGATGAATCAACCTGATTGTCTGAAAAGATAGATGATTTCATAAAAGTTAAGCCTCATAGGGAGCCATTTCGGACACCCATCTTATAGTAGAATTTCAGCGCACGGGAATCGAACCCGCTACCTCTCGAATCAGCACTCCGATGCCTCGCTGGGCTATTGGGACCTAAATTGTAAATGGTCTCACTGACAAAGTGAATATGAAAAAGTAATGTATAAAAACATCATTCTTAGAGAATCTTATTTCTGGTAGGTACAATGGTGTTAAAATAATAAAACTAGTAGCTACTGTGCGTTCACTTGAAAAATAACATTGTGTTTTTCAACTGAACGCGAACGAAGTATACATGTATATGCAAATATACCTATTTTACTATGTAATATTTATATATCTCGCAGGATAAAGTGTAACTTTGATTTTATGTAGTAGAGAAATACATTTAAACAACAAAAAATTTCCTGAAACGATAATTTCAGTTCAGGTGATATCAGAAAATCCTGAACACGGCGGTGTTTAGACAAAGAGATCCATCAGACCCAATGGAATTTGAAGTGTAGCCGTCCCAACTGTAGCTGCTCATAAAACTGTTCTATCACTAGCAGCAATAAAAGCTAACGATGCCCGCCGACGGGCGTAAGACCAACAACAGATAGACAAACTAAACCCTGTATGGATTGAAGCTATTAACAGCGCATTGAATTGTCGAAACGTGACAGCGTACAAGATTATTGCCATTATTACTAACCTTATAGAACTGAGTATCCTCGGTGCGGGTCACGCGTGCGGCACTCGACTTATTTATACTGCTGGGCTGTGTGTTATATGATTTTTTTATTGATGTGTAGCGTTTTTTTGTGTGTCAAATCTCGCGGGCGCGTTTTTTGTCGCGCTTGGCGGCTCGAGACGCGGCCGTCGCGGCGCGTGGACTCGGACTGAGGAAAAGTGGAAGTCCGATGTCGGTGCGGGCCGTCAGGTGGCGCCGCGCGTGCGCGCTGCCCAAGGTCATGCGCGGTGCCGGCTGTGCACACAGCACACGAGACACAGCCCGCACCCTATGCTCCACAGAACACAGGAACTATCCAGGCTATTTCCCAGTTGCCCCCAGGATAGCTTCCACTGGGGGCTACTGGGAATTTATTTACAAAAGTATCCCAGTCTCCCCGCCTGTGAAAAACAGTGTTAGGAAAATGGATTTCCATGGTTTTCATAATTTGTACATATTTTTTTTTTAAATGGGGGAAAACGAAGACTTTTTTGTAAATAAATTCCCAGTTGCAGCACTTTCAATGGGTATGCTGACATCACTAGTTACCAAATTACAAACAGTTTGTTGCTTGATGTGAATGACGTGTGATCCGTAAGCATGTGCTGAAAAAATACATTTTAAAATATTTCAGGGCAGTTTTCACACATTTCAGGGCTAGATTACCCAGGATATCGAAAAGGGAATAAAGCACCTACTACCACCTACCTATTGTATTAGTGCTTATTCCGTAGCACTTTACTTACGCTACTACACTCACTCATACGTGTGACTTTGATAATGTTGTAAAATTTGTAAATTAAAAATAAAATAAATATAAATAAAACTTTATTACACAAAACAAACAAAACATAATACATAATAACACAAAGCCAGCTTTAGATCGTATTAATAAATACACGGTAGGTAATTAAGTTGATTATCAACAATTCTGCATTATATTTTTACTGTTACTTAGTTTATGCAAAATTTAATTTTACATAACAATAAGTATTTATGATCGTAACGTTATTATGCACAGATACCTACCTACTTTAGATTTTTCATAACGCCATGATTTTTATAATCACTAATCATGATTTCATGTAATATTTTCACACTTACAGTGCATGATTGGAATTAATGTTAACACAATATAAAAGAAACTTTCTCGTCATCTATAAAAACAAATGATAAAAAAACAAAACAACAATTAAAGATCTCAGAAAAACAAAACAAAAGAAAACAATTAAGAAAAGTATAAATTCTTGTAAAACCAAAATTTTTAGGAACTTTTTAAACTCATTCATTACTAAAAGATCGTAAATTTATCTATTTTAAAAATATTATGAAACCGAATGTCACATTTTCTGTTCCTGTGATTTTTGATTTCCTTACTTGTGATTTTGTAAATATTAATATAAAATCTTGTAAAACAAAACACATATAAAATGAAATGAAAACTTACAAAAAGGTTTACTTGTATCTTTTCTTCCTCAAGAGTTTCTTGGCGGGAGGTATTGCCATATTATGGACATTGATGCAATGTTTTTTCAGCTCAGAATATTTCCGAAACTTGGACCCACAAATTAGACAGTCCACTATAATTTTTCTAACGTTGTGGACAGTCCATTCGTGGTCCCACTTCTCTTTCAGAGTCTTGAAGTAATCGTGACAGAACCTGCACCGGAACCTATTCGACAGCTGTTTAGTGTGAGCACATTTTATGTGTTTATTCAGCATAGACTCAAAGTAGAACACCTTATCACAGTATTGGCACGTGACGGGAGCATTTTTATTGTGGTACTCCATGTGCAGTGTGATCATCTTTTTAGAGTTGAATTTCCTGTGGCACAGATCGCACTGGAGGTATTTGGTGCCGTGTATTTTTTTGTGTTTGGAGAAGTTCGAGGAGTCGCTGAAGGATTTGTCGCAGAATGTGCATTTGTAGAGGGTGAGTTTTGCGTGTTCGCGGAGGTGTGCTTTGTACCTGTCGACTTTGGTGAAGGTCTCGACCTGGCAGACTTCGCACTGGATGTTGAGGGTGCCGTTTCTGCTGACGGGGGTCTTGGCGAGGGTGCTGCGGATGATGTGCTCGATTAGGTGCCTCTTCAGGTCGCCGACGCGGTCGAATACTTTCAGGCAGACGTCGCAGGCCTGGAAGAAACAGAATTTTAGTTAAGGTCTAGCGTCTTAAATCTAACTTAATTATTTTGATAAACATTTTCAACTTCACTCTTTAGAGCTTCATTAGGATTGTCACACACAAAAACAGTAAATTCACTCTAAACTGAAGTAATTGACAGTTACTACGAGTTACACAGAATATGAAAATGTACCTACTCATTACATTAGAGTATTATATTATCTGTGCATTAGATAACTATAATTGGAGTCTCTGACGCAAGTGACGCAACTTCTATTTTCACACATCTGATTAATTAATTAAGTATAAATTAATAAATTATCTACAGTAAATAATATTATTATAAAAATTACCTTATTGTATCTCCTGTGTCTCTTGGCTTTTTTGGCGTGCAACAAAAAAATCTTATTGGACATAACTTTCGCAATAACAGAATCAGCCTTTTGTATTTCGTCATTCGTGCACTCGTCTAGTATGTCGCTTTCAATTTTGAAGTCTTCATCGTCCCCTGGAGAAGGCGCCATGATGTCAGTGTCACTGATGACCTCATCTATCAGGGACTCAGTGAAATCATCGTCGCTCTCTTCTTTAGTGAACTGCTGATTTTTATGCATTTCTTCGTGCATTTTCAGATTGGTCAACTTATTGGCGACAAAATCGCAGTAGACGCACATGAAGATATAGTGAACCTTAGCGCAATGGGACCTCAAGTCCTCGATATCAGCATAGGTTTTGCTGCAGTGCTGGCAAGCGTGCTTTCGGGAATGGATTTTCCTATGAGTGCGAAGGGTGAACTTTGACGCGAAGACTTTGTGACACTTGTTGCACTCTAGTTCAGGGTCCCCATGGCCCATGCAGTGGAGTTCGAACTTCTCTTGGTTCTTCAGACTCTTGCCACATTCACTGCACATGAACTTCACTTCGCTGCCAGGACTGGACGAGTCCACGTCGAGGGAGGTTGACCTGGGCGTTCTGTGGCTGCCCACCATGTGCTGCTTGAAAGCAGATATCTGGTCAAATATCTGCTTGCACTTGTCGCACTGATATTTCTTCTGGTGGGGATTCACATTATCTGAAATGGAAAAAGTAAGTTATTGCTTAATAGAATGTAAAAGAAGAATTCTGGGTGTTATCCTCAAAACAGGTAGGTATTGACGTCTGAAAACTATGCTCAATTGCAAAATAACAAAGTTATAACTTTGTTATTAGTTAGTTATTATTTAGTTATATTTTTCTTGTTAGAATTTCGTGTTTGATTAAAATATCTAAGCAATGTAAACAGATTATTTCGCTGTAAAAGATAATAGTACAGTACCAACGTAAGTTTTTACTTAAATAGAGATGCAAGTCGATCTTGAGTACAGACCCAACTGTTGGTGTAGATTGCACAATAAGTTACAATAGAATGCATGCACATAGTACGACCTAATAATAAAATGTTGTTACAAACAATAGGGTGATATTTTAAAGTTTAATTTAAAAAGTTTTGTTTAGGGTTAGGACTCTAAACAAAACAAACTATTTGAAATATAAGTAAGTCAATTCTAACATAAACCAATGGCAGGATTTGAACCCGCTACCGTAACGGTCGTGAAAAGTTCGTTACGGATCAAGACAACATGCTATGGACTTAATGTTAGAAGCATTTTCTGCAAATTCAACTGAGTGGAAGAGAATAGTTTTTCTATTGTTTGCTTAGTTTTGTATTTCGTCGTATCATTAGATATCTAATTCGAAATTTTGATATTTTGCAAAAACTAGAGAAGGACTTAAATAATAAGAGATATCACTTACCAATAACAACTTCATGATCGACCTCCCCAGTCCCAGAACAGACCAGGGTCGGGTCATTAACTGCTATCTTCTGAATCGTCTGTCCACAGTGCGAGTCGTGGCCCAGGAACAAGATGGTCTTCCGCTGCTTCGACACCGACTGGATATCCGACGACATCAGCTGTTTCAGAGCCCCGTTCTCGCTCTGAATCCCGATGTATTTGCGCTCCTCCCTCGCCTTAGTCTCCTTCTCATTCATTATCTCCTCAGGCAAGTGAGAGAGGAACACCCCGCACTCAAACTCATCCTCCTCATACAAATTCAAATTGCCTGCATCAGAAGTACTCGGCTGGACGTTCTCCGCCGGAATCTTCCTGAACTTCTTATGCTCAAAATCCTCGACCGGCGAGTAGTGTATGGATTCCTTGTAATTGTACACGTTCTGAGTGATGTACGTGTTACGTTGTTCGACGGTTATATGCCCAGACCTTGTCTGGCGACACACGGAGTACTCCTGAGTCTCGGTTGCGTCATACTGGTTGTATACGTACGGGCTTCTCACCGGGTCGATCCATACCTGGGACTGATTGTACGGATACGTTATCTGATTTCCCGATTCAATCTGCGCAAGCTGATCATGTTCGAATCCCGAATCTTCCGTTGGAGATTCAACATGATGAACGTTAACATCATAACTATCTATAAGTTTCACGTTACAAAAACCGGTGTAGATACACATTTCGTTACCTTCCGTGTCTTGCGACGTGATGTTCAAGTCGATAAATACGTTATCGGTCACCTCACAGCTCGTTTCCAACGTGGTACACTTCTTCGGGATGAGAAGCACTGGATACATGATGTCGGACTCCGACATCGTTATGTTCGCTTGGTCCATATTTTTGGGCACGATCTATGTAAACAAAGAAATTCCATATTCAATAAAACAGCTGACTATATCATGGTTGTTGAAGGTAAATTAACAACAAATAATTTCATAAAATACCAACGATTTATAGAGAAATTAAACTTACCACGTGTTGCGACGGTGGCAGGATAGAAATGGGTCCGCAGAAAATTTAAAGGAGGTACAACCGTCACCGTGACGTACATTTTGCAATCGAATCTACCTCCGATTTTTAACATTTTTGTGGGAGGTAAATTTAAAATTGCAACGGTAGAAATACGTCAACTTTAGTTTTTTTTCCCATTTAAGTTTTGACTTAGAAACGTCACGTTAACAAAAACAAAATAAATCATGGAGTACGCTTTTCTTTTTAATATTTTAAAAATAGAATGCAAAATTCCCTCGTTTATTTTTTGTTATGTTGATTGAAACATGTAATCTAAACTGACCCTTATTTCGAAGCATATAAAGCTGATAAATGCTTAAAGGTATTTATTGTAGGTCATGGTCATGTTCTATTTTACGAATTTTCTATCTACGTCTTGATTTTTTAATCATGGAGGATAAATTCAGTAATTAATCAAAAGTTTATCAATCGTTATTTAGATAGGTGATTAATGAAACATAACAATCATTGATCTCTTTTGACCTATTGATTTACCTACTACACAGAACGATTTTTAAGGGAGATCCGTGAATTTTGTCAAATTAACAATAAACTACAATATCAAGGAGGCTTAGATTCTTCATTTAAATTAACTGCTGAATTTAGGTTGGTTCCCAAAATATTTTTTCAAACTTTAATAAAATTCAAAATACGATGAAACAATTTAATTTATTTAAGTAAATTTTTTTCTAATAGCTATATAATTAATTATTATTCACCAGAAATCTGTACCTATGCAGAATACTATCTAAGTAGACTGCATGTTTCAATATCTTGTACAGCGATTTCAGCCTCTTTGCAAAAAAAAACTATCTCCGTGCCCGCCAAAAAAGTGACATCTGTTTTTTAAAATCCAGTGGGTCTAGACAAAGTGCAAATTATAATCGCAAACCAGTCGAAAAGTGGTCGAAAAGCCCCTTTTTTGTATGGAGTTTTGACGGATTCGATTTTCGATTCGATCAAAAAGTGCGTTTTGTCTAGGGGGGCTGGAAGCAGAATCCGATAGCAACGGTATTGCGTATGCGGCTATAAACACCTCGTATGTTTAATTGTTACTAAATACTTTTACAAAGAGGTGAAATAACTTCTTGCATGTACCATCGGCAACAGTGTTAACTATCCATTGCCTGTGTGGCCGTGTGTACATTAGGGTAAACTTCCATCCAGTGATTGGACACTAGATTGATTTACTTATTCAAGTTGTTTTATGTACATACTTAGACAAGTTATTGGACAGTTTTTTTTGTATTTCAGCAACTAAGAGATTCCGATTGATAAAAGGACAATTTACATTTGAAGTAGGTTTAATTCAATAAGGACGTTCAATACAAGGGGTTATATTGTCCAATGACTGAAAGTGGACCTTCTTTTACCTAAATAAAACTAAAGTTTGCACGATCATATCAAGTCATTTATTCAAGCAACGAAGTGGCGGGCGACCCAGTCTTGGAAAGCGCTGACTCGGACGAACATATCGGGAGCGCCGCGGGCGCAGGGGAAGCCCCATGACACGATTCCGATCTGGGTGCCGCGGTCCAGGCGGACTAGAGCGCTGCCGGAGTCACCCTGCAAGAAAAACATACATAAATAAACAATACTAGCTTCTTGCCGTGTAGTTTCGGCAGCAGGGTAGAATCTATAGATTAACTTCCACTTTCTTATCCCGTGGATATCGTTAAAGACGACTCTTTCTTTAGATGTCATAAAAGGAGACAAAGGAACGAATACTTATGAGAATATCAACTACTTATCAGGCTAGATTCATTATATCCTTAATTTTCCTCTAAATTAACTAAGTATAAGTTCAAATAAAGGTAATCTTAATGCCGCGCGACCATGAGTGGTGCATAATCATGTACCTACTATTACTTTGTTAATAGTTTTAATCGAGGGACGTGCTGGCTGTAAAAAAGACTAAGATATAATGAATCTAGCCTGATAAGTAGTTGATATTCTCATAAGTATTCGTAGCTGCTTAGATACTTAGAAGAAGTAAAGCCACTTGCAATCAACTGCTGGAAAATTTCTCGCGTTTTTCATTCTTTCACCGTCAAGGTGTAGGTATCTTTTTGTGGTCATCTTTTGACTCAAGACTTGCTAGCGGATTCTAAAGTAAATCTCTACGAAGTACCAGATAATGTAGTAGGTAGGTACATTAAAATAAGTCAGTCAAAAGACGTCCACTAGTTCATGCGCTGCTCACATCCAGTCCACACAAGAGTACCTAAAGTAACCTGTACAGATAGCACGAAAAACTTTCGAGTTCAAATCGTTTGCGTACTCGAATCGCCATCAAAAGATTTAGTAAGAAAACTAAGTACAACAGCGCCCTTGTGAACGTGTCGTAAAGTGAACTTAGTATGAGATGTGATTGCACGTAACTTATTTTGAGAATCAAAATTGTCACTTATCGTTTAATTCGAAGATTGAGTATCGAATTTTATCGAGTACGCAAACGATTCGAAGACGAAATTTGTTCATGCTAGAGGTACTGTAATAAGACCTTACAATGATGCTAGGTGGTGCATTCAAACTTACGTTGCACATGCCGTGGTTCGGCGAGTGGATGATGCAGAGCTCGACGTGGGGTTCCACCGGTGGGGCGGCGACGTTGAAGTCGACGGAGGCCTGGGCGACGTCGCGCACGCACTGATCGCCAGAGATGGTGGTCACGGTCAACTCGAGGAGCTGAGCGGAGATGGGACCGCCAGCCTGGAAGAATGGGAGGGTTTTGTTAGTATTTCAATTCGTGATAATTTTTCCATCAGACGAAAAAGTTTTGCGAGTTCTGAGTGATCATCATTGATGGTCGGGTTGGGTGAGATGCAGGTCGGGCTAGCCGTTGTTGTTAAACAGCTCTCTAGTGCCAATAGTTTCCAAGCAAAACCTCGGACAAACAGACATATCGAAACTATAAGGGTTCCTTGTCAGGACTACGGAACCCTAAAAAGTATGGTAACGCGAAAATAAAAAATATTTTTGCTAGTGAATTCCTGCAAGAGTTAATATAACTCATGCCATTGGTAATTATGTAGATAAGTAGCAAAGTTTGTTGTTGTATATGTACCTACTAGTCAATGATTCACATGGACTTTGGCTATGTTGGGCGTTGGCGTTTTGTGATGTTATGCGACGATCATTTACACGACGTTACCAAATTATGGATGGCTTTAAAAAGTCAGTTCTTTAGTTCACATTTTTTGTATTCAAAACTTAAATTGATTTAACTATTAGCCAACCATTACTTATTGAAAGTCTCTTTTAAATATTAATTTAACAGAAAATATGCTGAACTCACCCTGATTCTGCCCCAACCAGCGGCTCTGGACTGGATTCCAGCACCGGCGTAATCATAAGACACAGTGATGGGCTGGACGAGATTGGTGAACACCACAGGCGAGGAGGTGATCAGCACTCCGATGTCGTTCTTGATGATCTGGCTGACGTAGTGCTCGTGAGTCACGTTGCGGGCCAGGGCGTAGGCCACTCCACCCTGGTTCCAGTTGTTGGTGCCGACGGTCACGCGGAGGGAGCTACAAAAACAATTTATATTGGTATATTTCAGGGCTTCTCAAAACCCCTATGTTCGCGACAAGGTTTACGTAATGGTGGCTTGATGACTGGCAAGTACGTGCGGCACACATGAAGGTCTTTTAAAAACTTCATTTTCTTCAACAGTCAATTTTATTACTTTCTTTAAGGGGGTGGGGGATTTAGTAAAGGGGTTCGCTGTCATCAGAAAACTTTAACAGGGGTTCGTGGAGCCGAAAGTTTGAGAAACCCTGGTACTTTATTTTATCTAAAAGAGGGTACAGACGTACAGACTTGTCAGTCAGATTGGGTTTTATTCGCGGTCAAGCTGTAGATCCTGGCTACACAGAAGTTGCAGCGGTGGGAACGAGAGGTGGGAATAGTCCCGTCAGAAGTCCCGTTGTCAGTCACAACATGGCAACCTCACCATTTGCTCAAGAGTTGCAAATGCAATTGCTGTGATTTTTTTAAGGAAAAGTTTAACTTAAACGTTGGTTCAGTCTTTTTGTTTTTGTTATTTATTATATTGCAATGACTAATGTGATTTAATAAATCATTATTGATTTCTATCTATAAAATAATGTGCGTTTAAGTTTTATTAGCCAGATATGGCGCGATAACAAATACCTATGTGTATTATAAAGATATAAATATCACTATCAAAGAGCTTTCTTTCATAAAAGTCGAAAAATACGTGTTTGTACATGTAATGAACCTTCCAACCTTCGAAAATGAGGTTTGAGCTGTATATTGTTACATTATTTACTTATTTATTCCAGTTGATGCACCAAATCGTTTGTCAGGGAGAAAGAACGATCATCATAACGATAATAACTTGGAGATGCTACGACCTTATGTCGGTCGTCAACATCGTGATCATACCTGCTCAGAGAGCCGAAGCTGAAGACAGCAGCGTTGCAGTGGGCAGCGGTCAGAACAGTTAGTATAAGATCCCGCTATACAACGACCTTCACCGAGATGCTTANACACGTTACTACAAGTGTTTAATATGCTAATCTCTTCGAACGAAGCCTTCGTATAATTAGGATAGAACTTCACTTACAGGTAAGTTCGTTTAATCTCTAATTATTATATTTGTTCTAAATACCAAGTGATATGAAGCGATGTTTACACGTCCAATACAAATATTGGGTTTGATAAACGATTTCCGTAAAATGAAAGGGCAAGAAAATAAATTGGAAAATACAAACAAGCGTTGAGTACAGAACGGTAGTAACTCCGTCAATTTCTTGCGACGCTTCCAAAGGAACCTTAGGAAATGTACTGAAATTCAATATTGAAATTGCTCGGGATTTTTATTAACCTTTACTGTCATTTTTATTTGCCTACACCAAACAAATATGCCTTAATACTTCATAGATTTTCTGTGTACAAACATGTGGATATGCTTCTTAAAATATTTGGCCAACATTGCGTTTCCACTTTGGAACAATATTTTGTAAATAACATTCCATTTTGGTGTATACCAAAATATAATCCATGCCTTTTTAATATTACTATTGTATTAATAATCCGCATTTCCATTAATAACAAAACCAGCATTCACTGGAAATAATCATGCAAAATTAATTCAAAATACAGACCTCGATATTTTTATATCGAACTAAAACAAAAAATACCCAATACAAATCACATGAGGATATTTATTACATTCTCTTTACGATTTTTCGTGATTCATGTTTATTCAAAGGCATTTCATTTGGACAGTAAAATGTTTATCAATATAGTGAGGGGAGAAGGGTGGGGTGTAGTAATCTGTCGTTACATAACTGGCAGATGTCCTCATTGCTCGGACAGAAATATCCCTTGCCTCTTGCTGGGAGGTCCAAGTGAGGAAAAGGTGCCTTTTAACTTTGTTTTCACTTCAAAAGTCTCGTTATAAGCATGGTAATAATGACATGGAAAAAATAATGACACATGTTAAGGCGCCTTAAGCATTTGACGATTTGCAAGTTGCTAATTGAGATATTTTTGATTGTGATCTTTCTGTTCTTCGTAAATGAGATCACTCGTAGGTAAATTTAAGCATTTTAAAATTCGCCTATGTATTCACATTCACAGATGCAACCTATCGAGCCTAAAAGGAGGACATAGGCCGCTCTTGTCGCAAAATATATTTTCAAATTGCAAATCAGAGATTGTGATTTGTATTTTAGGAGTCATCAATTTTAAAAGACTTTCTGTGATACCGAAATCCGGGAGCAAAGTCAGTTTTCACATAAAGGAAGCTTACACCAATATATCTCCAAGACAATCGAGTATGAGCAAAACTTAAGATTTCGTAACGTCCCTGATTTAAGTTTAAAGTTTGGTGTATCACACGACATTTTTAACTGCTTGCAATCTACTGCTTGGAATCTTGGCATTTCGCCAGCTGCGATAGAAGCTTTAGCGCATAAGGATTAATTTCGTGTCGTATTGATAATAAAAATATTTCTATCCGAGCCGTTACTGTGTCATTTATGGTTATATTTTATTTGAAATGTTCCCATTTTAACGTTTTCTAGGCAATTGTGAGTTTTACTAACTGTGAGATTATAAACCTGACCTACTTCTTTCGAACTCGTTACTTTGGGTTTTTTCATTAAATTGTTAAAAACAATTAGTCTTTGAAATGATAAATCATTAAATTCATTTATTTTCAGTAGGTAATTCAGTTTTAAAAAGCTCTATCAAAATACGTCCCGTCATTAATTTATAGTATTAGCCGGCTATTGTATGATAGTAAGTAGCTGTTTATCCCTGTGCAATCAAGTAATAAATCAATATTGATTAAACAACTGACTTGCCCTCACTCTGCCTCTGACTTGGGCCTCAAACTCATCGCATAAGAGTCTGGTGAGGCCTCTTCCGCGTACATTGACAGCAAGCCTCCAATGTACACTTAGCGCGAAGAACTGGCATGCTTTAAATGCGACCTATTTTCAGGGTAGCAAAAAACAGTACAACTTTTTTTATTTTAGTTTTTTAAATATCCATTTGTCATTTGTTTTATTCCATTGACAATGTACACTTAGCGCGAAGAACTGGCTGGTTTTAAATGCGACCTATTTCCAGGGTAACAAAGTTTTTTTTAATCCCCTTTTAACATCTGTTTTATATCTATGTAATATTGGCGCGTTCTTTTTATGTGACGTCACGATCAGCTAATTCTATACTTCTGAACGCTCGTATCTTTTTTTATTTCTAGTTCGATTTCAATACTTCAAAGATAGAATTAACTTTAAATGGGTAATTATGTAATTTATATTTGTTATGTTTGAGAAACTATATTCCCTATTCGAGTTTCAATTCACTTTTTAAATAAGATCTGCTTTTTGAAACCCAATTATGGACCCTAAGCCCAAGCTTTTTGCGATCTCCAAACGTGGCCAATGGCATTGCGAAGAAATTCGGTATTGTGACAGTGAGAATATTAATACACACCTGCCCGATACCTATTCATGAGCAAGCTCGAACAGGATGTACAGTCGACCGCAGATATAGCCAGCTTTACTTTTATGTCGTTGTGTGTGGACATGGTGAAACGAACCATTGATTAAACCATTTGTTATTTGAGTTTCCCCTGGGTATTATTGTTCATATAAACAAGATTACAGTTTTTTTTAAACATAAAAGCCAAAGAATTATGTTTGTTGCATGAAAATCTTTATAAATTACATCCTTTGATGTACAGATAAAATATGAACTTCAGGAATTCATTTATATTTTAAATCCGACCTTATCCTACTATATTTTTTATATCCAGCAACGAATTGCGAAGTTGAAATCGATGCTCAATCTCTTTTACACGAAAGATACGAGTGTTCTGTAGTTTACACAGTAAAAATAAAAGAGCACCTGAAAATAAAATTCCGTATAGTTTCAAGCCGAGCTTAATAAAATGTTACGTTTTTGTTCCCGTGAACTGCGCAAATTCTATTTTTACATCCAAAAGTAGAAACGGATTTTGTTTTATTTGTAATCGTACAGTATTTTGTAAATAGAGCCAGTTTAATTGAGGAAATTTCGCCACTGTCCAGTCTGTTTGTGCACAGATACATTTATTTTGTTCTCTCTGTAACTGAATTTGGAAATAAACTGTCAAAACTTTTAATGAAGTATTATCCTTCATCCACAGTACCTCAGTATGAAGAGAGTATGGGTCGTTGAGAGACTACCAATCAACTGACTGACACGTTTTGTGAGCTTTTAAAAAGAGATTCTTATACATATTTAAAATAGAACCTTTCCTTATCAGTTGTTCACCATCTCATAGATAAACTATTTATCGATTTCAAATCGACATTTTGGTTTTACAGCCAATCCAAGACTTTATATTTTCAGGTCTAATCTAAATGAATGTTTTTATAGAATTGGGACTCTACATTATGAAATTCTATTGTGCCATAAAATCATATGACAATTTCGGAGCTTATTGCATAATTATGTTTTTGGTTTCGAACATCCTGATTTGCCATTTCACATAATTGGCAAGAGATTAGCCTATAAGCTGATTTATTAGCCCATTGTTGCCAATTTAGCGGCGATAACTAGCGATTAGTGGTTGCTTTATGATCAAGATTTTATCACAATACCCTGATAATGCATTTCTGTAACTATTTCATGTAACATTTATTATATCCGCTCAATAAAAAAAAATAAAACCGACTCCAAAAAACCTAGGTACACTAAAAAGTAGAAAAATAATTACTAATTACCTACTTATTTATTAGGACGAATTAATATTTATGTAGGTATACCATNAAAAAAAAAAAAAAAAAAAAAAAAGTGTGAAATAAAAATTCTCAAATAGTGTTGTGGAATGGTGAGTGCTACACGTTACTACAAGTGTTTAATATGCTAATCTCTTCGAACGAAGCCTTCGTATAATTAGGATAGAACTTCACTTACAGGTAAGTTCGTTTAATCTCTAAATATTAACTGTTTTATTCACAGTAATTCTATGATACAGACCTTCGTCATGTTAAGCCAACGCCAAAAGCTTGAAATGATAATTTTGGTAACGGAGAGCAAAAATATTATTTAAAAAGCATAGGCTTATAAGCATTAGCGGGACTCGTTAAAGCAGACCTCGTTGAAGGTGACACGGAGCTATCACGAAATGAGTATTCGGTGACTAGTCACGTTTGCTTCGCATGGCTTTTAAATTAAATTAAAACCCATTAAGTCGTCTGCCGGTGACTAAATGAATCCAGAAAAAGTTGCCATTAAACGTGCTTACTCTCATAACATACATTTAAATGCAGATGTTTTGTGCACGATGTTACGGTTGATGATATTACGGTTGATGATATTAATTCCATTATTTTACTATAATAATAATAAAGACACTTTATTGTACTCCACGCACAAAACAAGGAAGCAAGAGATACAAGAGAGGACAGAACAGTTTAGGCGGTCTTATTGCTATAAAACGATCTCTTCCAGACAACCTATGAAGAGGACAGTTGTTTTAAAATAACTATGAAGGGGAAGGCGGTGATCAATAAAATATAAAAGGTCTACTATCTTTGAAACAATGTTTTCTTTAAATTATTTTATCCGAAAAGCCTCCTGTATATGCATACAACCAAGATAACACACCAAGGTAAATATTTTCGATCGTTAAAAAAGTTCGCCATTTTTTCCTTCGAAGCTCACTTGGGGACACACGAGAACTCTAAAAAATACGTCTCCTTGGAGAGGCCCGTTAACAAAGAACAGTGAATTGTTTTCATTCCCTTACTTCCCCTTGTTGCTCGCCTCCGAGGATATCGATTGAAACCCAATATTCTTCGGGCTAAGTATGACGTTCCTAAAAAGTCCTTTGAATAAAATTAATAACAAAGGGCGTCGTACCGCAGCCGTGGGCCCGGAGGCTTAATTTGCATTCCTGAATCAAAATGTTGTCGTAATTATGTAGGGTCAGATAGTCGTGGATGGACCAGTATTA